TTTTGGCTTAAACACGCCACACTTACTTTGAGTCAGCATAGGATGCACATTACTAGCTGCAGGTTTTGTTCTGTCACCATGCAGTGATTGAACATCCTCAGGTTATCCTTAACCAAGATCTGGGACTTCAGACATAGCAACAGACTCAGTATCTAACCCTGATCGTGTAGTGCAGTGGCCAGAATCATCTACAGGCAATTAAGCAGCACCTGGGACTTGAGCACTACCAGTATGCAGCTTATTGGCATCCATTACTATATCAAGAGATCTGCTCAAAGGCAACGCGGATGATGACTGCCTGTCAGGCTTATCATTGGCAAATGGAAAATTCCACTCATCGAACTTCACATAACGAGACACAATGACACGCTTATCAGGCGTTAACAAAGAAAACCTTTGTGTTGAGAGCTCATACCCAAGAACGTACACGGTTGAAATCGAAAATTGAGCTTATGAACATTGAATGGTCTTAGATGAGGGAAACATCAATATCCAAAGACCCTAAGTAATTCATAATCTGGCTTCTTCTTGAATATACACTCAAAGGGGGAACGCCCAGCTAGTACCCTGGAGGGAAGTCTATTGATCAAATGTACAACCATGACTACTGCATACGACCGGTAACTAGTTGACATGAAGGCTTGTGCAAGTAAAACCAGTGCCAACTCAACTACATGCCTATGTTTACGTTCCACTACACTATTTTATTATGACGTGTGTGGACATGTAACACGATGAGAGATGCCAGCTTCAGCAAGAATTCGAGATAACCGACGATATTTGCCACCTCAGTCACTCTGAACAGCTAAAATCGACAGTCCAAATTATGTTTTCACAAGCTGTTGAAACACATAAGTAGCTTGAGACTTTTTCTTAAGGAGATATAACTACGTGTGTCTAATGCAGACATCCACAAAACTTACATAATACTTATAGCCATTATAAACAACAGGTGATGACCTTCATAAATATGTAAATACAAGTTGGAAGGGCAATTCATACACAGTGGATAAATCAGAAAATAGAAGCTTATGGCTCTTTCCCATATGACAAGCAAAACAAGTTTCATTAACACTTTGTTCAATAGTTACATCAAGTAGTTTGAATATTTGCCCAAGGGTTCCATGTGCAGGATGCCCAAGGCGCTTATGCCACAAATCATACAGAGTATGTGAAACAACAACGCTATTAGCTTCAAAAGAAGCATTCGTATTATTCATGGAATATACTTGGAACAAATATAGACCATCATTCTTCTGTCCTTGCAGCAACACTTCACCAGTGCCTTCATCACAAACACAACAATGGGATGCATGAAACTCAAAGTATACCCCATTGTCCCTAGCAAGCTTTGAGACTGAGAGAAGATTTTTAGTTATCTTGGGAACATGAAACATATCATTCAACATCAAAGCTCGAGAAGAAGAACATAAAGTAGTTTTACCAATAGCTCAAATAGGAAGTAAATCTCCACTGCCGAGATCCTTTTGATTAAGCACCTTAGCTTATTCAAAGGTCACATGATGTGTAGCCCCGGAGTCCACCACCCAGTGATCCCTTGTAGTAGTAGCAACAAGACTCTGAGGCTGTGAGGAATGGCATACTTGTGCCTCAGCACGAGCTTTTGAGCATCACATACAATCATCCTCACCAACAGAGACTGCCTCAAAATCGGATTAGTTAGCAGAACCTAACTCACCACGAGCCACAGTACGATATGCCGATCGACCAGTGAAGGTTTGGTCGAACCTGTACCAGCAATCAACAACCATGTGGCCATTTTTGCCACACAACTGGCACTGCACATGTGGTCAGCCACGACCACGTCCTCCACCTCTACCTGCATTACTAGATCCTGATTACCTAGAACCACGATCATGAAAGCCATAACCAGCAGTTTTCAAGCCAGAAGCAGATTGAACTATATGAGCGCTCATCGGAAGAGAATCTTCTTGAGAATCAAAACCAGCAAGTTGCATCTCGGCATCGATCAACATCGAGCAAATCTTGTCAAGAGACAATGCATCCTTCATGGTGGTTATGAACGCAATGTACAGCTGATATTCTCGGGAAAGGCCTTTAAATATGTTGGCAACATGTTCGGCGCATCACATATTACTTTGATGCGCGTAAGGTATGTGCGCATGCTATCATTCCCTTTTTTAAGCGATTGAAGCTTGTAATGGAGATTGATGACCGTCGTGGTAGACCGATTCGCAAAGAACTGTAAAACTGTGCTCCAGACCGTTGCTGTCATCTCCGTTCCAACAAATTGGGACAATAAATGAGGGCTGATCGTGGACAGTAGCCAAGAAGCTAGTGCACTGTCTTGTGCAACGTACTCCTCATACAACTCATTCGACACCAAGTCACCATGCTCGTTTACCACCATTGTAGAAGGAGGCGAGGTGGCTCTCGTTAGTAACCGTTCAAGTCGATGACTACGAATGGTCAACAAAACTTGATGTTTCCAAAGGAGAAAGTTCGATTCATCGAGTATGATGTTAACCTTCTTGTTTGTGAAGGTTTTTCCTTCTGAGAACTCCATGGATATGAGGGCAGCGCATCACACAGAAGCAATCTCAGGAACAACCTGCGAATGATACCATATTAAGCATTGCAGTAGGAAAAGCTTGAGAAGAATACCAGAAGTAATTTTATTAAGCTTGCCTCATTTACACTTCATCTAAGCTTGCTTACTTATAGTTAATTCATAACAAACTTCAATAAACTAACAACTTTAGAAATTGTTCCCTAACAGACTTGACACGTATACTAACTGCATTTATCATCTACATTCTTCCAATTGCCATGCACGCCATGCATGAACTGCACTATCACATGCACAACATTCTCAGCTACCTTAAGTATCTCAACATGTTCCTATCAAAAGTGAGTGTTCCAGCTGGTGAACTCATTGACGGACCTCCTTTTGGACTCCATTCAACAAAACGTACAGCTTCACCAATCCCATATCCACTCGTCCACGTAACGGTCATCTGTGAATCAAAGTAGTAATATGCAGGCCATCTGATAAATTGCTGACATTACTATAGAAAGAACGAAGAGTGCAATGCAATACAATGGAGAACTTTTACGTTGGTATCCGACGCATGTTGTGCATGTTCTTCAACATTTCACATGCAAACTAGGCTGAAAATCAAGAGAAATCGAACTTACTTCATTCCATACTTTTCCTTGAGCTAGTCGAGGGTAAACCGGTGCTTTTGGATTTGAGAAAGCAACTTTATTTGACACCGCCACCACCTTTGGCTATTACATAATCAAGAAAAAGGGAATTATGTAAGTAAGCAGTTAATAGGATGATCAAGATTGGAATACATTAAGCAGCCCTAGTTTTCATATAGGATGATCATTATAAGCATACATTTGACAAACCGCCAGAAAATAACGCGAAAGAGAAGTTGAATCTCTGATTAATCAACTGAAGCTTCAATGTCCATTTTCCGGTTTCTTTATACTTAGGAGTGCTGTAGTTTGCATACTGAAACTGCAAGAGGGAGTTAGCAAACAAGGTTTAATTTCACATCATATAAATCTTTCCCCATTTAAACAAAGAGCAGGCATTTCATCAAAGCGGAAACAAAACAATCAGTCTAAGAACCTTAATAGGTGCCGAACACAACAGCGGAGGGGTCAGCCGTGGATTATCATCAGCTGGAGCAGGACAGGAAGCACTGGAGAAACATATTAGTTTTCGAGATCAAACAACACATATAGTCCCATGGAAACACATTCGAAACATATGTTTTACCTGAAATTGGAAGGAGAAAACACTCCAATCCAATCAACTGATGGATGAGGAGAACGAATCTCCACTACAACCCAATCTGCATTTTGACCCTGCAACACTCATGAATGTTATGTAAATAGTTTTGCAGAAAAACAGTAGGAGAGACTTACCTTCAACCCAAGAACAGTAGGAGAGACTTTTATGTAAGCTTGATGGTTGAGAGAAAAAGTTGCATTTTGAACAGCAATGGTTGAAAGAGGCTGATCTCCATGTGAAGCAACCACTTCGAGTGTTGCAAGAATTAATAGAATGGACAATAAAATCAAACACAATTCCCTCATCCTACCAGATATCTGAAACAAATCACCAAATCAAAAAAAAAAAAACACTTGCGTTTGAACAAGAACTGTAATGAAACAGATCCCTTGCAAGGCATGCATAACGCAGATTCAAATAAACGGCCAACTTGCCATTATTCTATTGAGTTATATCTGAAACAAGACAAAGTATATCCCTTTATGCAGAAGTTTCAATAGGGGTACCTTAAAATACACGACAGAGAAGAATAGAAGCTAAGACTGGACTCAACCTAAGTCAAAAGAATGTTGTTTGTAATGAATCAAAAGGGCGAAGCAAGTGGAAGAGCAAAAGGTATGGAGAAGACAGAAGAGAACACAGAGGTCGGCAAACCAAGAGAAAAGGGTGGCCCTTTTTTTTGTGGAAAATAAACATCGAATCTGTAACTGGAAGATTCGAAAAGTCAATGATTAAAGCTTTCCATGTTCAGCGTTGATCTTAGTCCTTAGATGTTGCAGCTAAAGATTCTGTTTTATTCTGTTTGTTAAAATATGGGCCTTTTCCAAGCAGTTGTTATAAGTTGCAATGTGGATCTTCCAAGGGAACTAGAGAAGAGGCAGAAGTGTAAGAGGGAGGGGATGGACAGTATGGAGCAGGTCGGTTTTTGACCATCTCGATTTTAATTTAAAAATTGAAAATTTTCGTCCGATCTTATATATTCCGGTGTTTGATGTTATTTCACTCATTCTGAACCTGCTCCGAATTTTGAGCAAAATTTTGTTCAGACCAGATACGAATAAATTTATTTGATTTAATAAATCATTTGTCTCCTAAACTATATATGATCCGGATATCCGATAATACATATATCCATTGAAATCTTATAGCTGTCACCCAGAATTTGATGTAATGGCAAATTGTTACATTGATGGAAAGAAGATTCATGAAATTTGGACAAAACGTGAAATAAATAAGGTTAAATTTGCACGTAACAGCATATGATCTTCTTAGAGAAGCTTTCCGGCAACAGCAAAAACACACTGCCATTATGAGATGATCGCTGTCTTCTTCAAACTAGTAGCAAACTCCACAACAGCAAAAACACTACAAAAGCAGAAGATAAAATAAAAGCAACAATCAAGTTTTATTTCTTTTCCGGAATGTGTATGAATTATGACAGTAAAAAATGTACAGAAAGAGTTCATATGAGTGAAGCAAACATGGGGAAGGCCTGGTGGAAGTTGGTAAACATGCACATTTTTTTCAGGTTGGAGACTTGGAGAGACGGAGATCATTCAAGTCTGATAGTTACAAGGGTCTTGATCAAGTCCGGAGTCAAGTCGGATTGGACCTTTTCCCAAGACTGTTTTATTCATTCACAATACTCAAACTCGATATTATGTTTTTCTAGGACTGTTTTATTCATTCACAATACTCGAACTCAAGATTATCATTGGTGGTAATTGGTAAACATGCATGTTTGAAAGCAAATTATGGAATTGTTGAGGAAAGTAGAAATGTATACCCTAATCATATCAAAAACACATAAAAGAGATAAGATCCAGTAAATAAAAAGCCCTGCAAAAGGAAGACTTTTGGGGTATACCTCTAATAATAGTCTTGGTTTGAATTTTGGCTTCCCATGCCCCACTCCAGGTATACCCTAATCATATAAAAGAAGACACATAAAAGAGATAATGAATTAAATTGATGTGCAACAGTGCAAGTTGAATTTGTAGTTTCCCTTAAAACTAACCGTGGCCAAAGCAATTTGTGGTACTGTTCACACCATCTCTGCAAATGCAAGAAAATGACTCATCAAGACCAGCAAATCCACACAAACCTCCACTGGTTTCACAGTCCTTACATGCTGTGGTATAGTAAGAATCATTATACTGCAAAGATATACCAAATTTCCACTTCATGGGATCCCCTTCATCTCCGAACTCGTATATCGATGTGTACGATGAGCACTGGAGTTTAGGAAGATCCAAAGAGTAACCTGATCCCATTCCCATGAATGAATCATAAACACAACAGGTGGATGAGGGTGCATTTTGTGGCAAACCAATTCCATTCACTCCTTTGCAAGAATATAAACCGCTACAAACACGAGAACCGGAACCGGTTTCACACAAATCCTCGCTTGAATCAAACACAGGAGATGTAGTGGAGCAACCAAGCAGGACAAAGATGTTGGAACCTGTTAGAGTGAACGGGCTCGTTCGATCCAAGCTAAAGCTTCCGGAGTTCTGCATCGAAGAGCAAGTCGACATGAGAGGGTCTGCAACCACAATGGTACTGGTCGGGTAGTCGATGGAAGAAACAGTGTAAATGCCAGCGCCGGTTGAGAATTGTAGAGTACCAGCATTGCATTTTACATATCTAGAAAAGTACGGATGGCCACATCCGAATCCAGTGCCAAAAGGAAACATAACCGGGATGGTACCACAAGTGTTGTTACATGTACCACGGGTCGGGATGGTGCGGCCAGCAGCATGGTCGACAGCAGAAACTTTATCGAGTCCAGGAAGCAAGAGAATGCTGAAGAAGAGAGAAGCAGCTGGTAGAGTTGACATGGATAAAGGGTTTCAGATGAAGAGAGAATTACAGATGCAGCTAATGAGCTAATAGTTAAAATGATACGAGAAAGATAAAATGGTATTCTTTTCGGTGGAAGTAATCAAATTTCAACGTTCTTCTCCTATTCCTTCCTAAAAAGAAGAGCCTGTCTTTATATGCATTCTAGCTATAAAGCACCATGGATTTTCATTACTATTTTGTAGAAAAAGGAGAGAGTAAATCTGGTCTTTAAAGTCTATTCATGTGAAAGCAACTACTTTCAGTAGCATTCATTCTTGTAAATTTACCTTTTTCATTGCATTTTACAATGAATAAAGAATAAATGTACAGAAATGTAACCCAATTATTCACCTAATGACTAATGGTATAGAATAAATGTATAAAAGACCAAATGTTTCCTTTCAAATAAGGCTTCCAGTTTCCATGGCATCTACATATTTCAAGTGAATATAGTAGCACAAGGTTCATGGTATTGATGCCTCAAGACAAGGAGAACTCTGTCAGATTCGAGGTTCCTCTCGGTTTCAGAAGTATTGCCGATATTTATGCATTCAAACCAGCCCAATTCTTGAAAGCAATAAGTGCCTCCATTTTCCTGAAGCTCCTTCTCAACTTTGACGCTTTAAGCTTCTTATGCTTCTCCATGAATGCTTGCTTGTACCTCCACTTATCCACGAAAATTTTCATCTCTTGAGACTTCTCCACGACGTGCTTCACTGCATCGAACAAGGGCCTATAAGAACGCATCGACTAAGTTATGATCAAACTTGATGACTTTCTCTTTGCCACCTGAAATTTTCCATTTAGATCGTTCCATAGCTTCACTGAAATATTTCTCAGCAGTCACGTAACCATTAAACAGGGACAAACATATGTTTGATCATTTGGCTCAAACTGCAGGAAAATCATCCTTTTGAAAGTCCTCCGAGCATCTTCCAACCGCTCAACTTTACAGAAAGCATGAATTATTGAGTTCCAGTCGTGCTTTGATTTCAATGCGAGGGTCTTCAACAACTTCATCAAGAAATGCAGCCACCAACTCAGTCCTTTGATTCTCCATCAGACCTGTCATTATAGTAAGATAACTCCCTTTCAAGTCATGTGTTCTAGTATCACTGTAAAAGCAGATGGAAAGCTTGACTCGTCATGGATGCTTCTATTAGCATGTCATACATTCCTACATCCAACTGAAGCCCCGAAGTACTAATATCCATAACTAACTGAGTAGCTTCGGCAATTCTAAGCTCCTTTCTATAAACCTTTAAGATAGGCACATAAACTCCACCTTGAGCTTTCATTTCATCAAGAATGCTATGCGCCTTATCTGATAAACCGAGATTAACACAAGCGCTAATGATGTCATATCCAACAGACTTGTCAACCACCAGCATGGAAGACTCCAACTTTTGAGCCCCAATGATCAAACTAGCTAAACTCTTCATAACTCCATTTTCGAGATACCCTTTAACCACTTGACAATAAGTTTATTTGGAAATCCAAACTCAATCATCAAATTTTCTAACTCCTCTATCTTCTTTTCAAGCCCTTTCAATGCAAACAAATAGGAAAGAAAACCAAAACTGGATTCTACAGGACAAACACCTAACACAGTCATAGTTGCCACTACTTTTTCAGCATCCGAAACGGATTCGAGTTCATAACTACAACACTCTAGAGCAGCATTACAAGTAGTCAAATCAGGTTTCAAATAATTCAACGTTTCATCAATTGCAATCCTACAACATTCCTTAAAAACTCCAAGAAAACGCAACAAGGCTACCACTTTTCCTACTGATAACAAGCATATCACCCCACACTTTACTCTGCAGACACTGTACTTGTTCTATTGTGGAAGATACATGAATTGTTTTGTTCTGTGCTTTGTTTATTACTATATAAATATATTAATATTTTGTAACCTATCAGCAACCAAGCTGGAATAGCTCAGTTGGTTAGAGCGTGTGGCTGTTAACCACAAGGTCGGAGGTTCAAGCCCTCCTTCTAGCGTAAAATTTTTGTTGATGCATGCGGCCCCGTAATAATTTTTTACTCCAACAGCTGCGACGAACATGAACAACAGCAATATATACGTTCTTCGTGACGATCTTCGGTACTCTCCGAATAAAATCACTCCCAAAATGCTCACAAGAGGAAGTGCCTGAACAGCATCTGCTGCTGCATAACCTGCAGCTTGGCCTCCCATGAACTGGAGACCGTTCCCGAACCATACCAAGAAGGCCATCCATTGGCCATTCCAGTCCTTTAGATAGGTATTAAAGGATGATTTGGGTACTCCAACTGCTAAGCTTGGCTTCATTATCAGCTACATTAGATGAATGAACAGCTGATTCAAGGCAAGCAGCAACAAAGAAGCAACCAACACCAGGGAAAATGATCTCAGCTTTGTTAGGAATCAGAAATGTTCTATTCTACCTGGAGATTTAAATGAAATCAATTTCTTTCTTAATGTAACCTAGGACAACAGTCATGCTCGACGAAACCGCTTCTACAACCGACAAGCCGTTGCCCAAGCATATTGTGTGGAAAGGTTACCTCACCAGTCGGGGATGGATCGAAAAGAGTTGACAAAAACGATTGTTTTTTACAAAAAAAAAAAATTAAATTCTTATATAATTTAAGTGTTTTTTATATTTTCTATTAGTAATCTATTTTTATCTAAAATTTTATAAATTTATCCCTAATCACAAACCATTATCAATGAAAAATGTCATAATATAAATTTTAAAAATTTAACGACCATCTTATAGTTTACCATAATCATTTAAGGGTTGTCAAAATCGGCACTAACTTTTACCATCTCAAATCAAACCTGATGTAAATATATAATCATATAATATTAATGCATCGTATTCAAAATTTTACATTATCTGGGAAAAAAAGCTGCTTTATCCACATGAAAATTGAAAGTACACAAAACTTGAGGACTCAAACCAAAATACCCCATGATTCTTTTTCTTTTCTGTTTATGCTTAGTGCATCATATTTCCACACAGCAACCAGACTGGACAAACCCAGAAAACTCATCAGGCACATTGATTTTCTTCAATTTACCATTTCGTCCTCCCATGGTTTCCACCATGTAGAACTCATGAGGTCCACCCTGGTACTCTGACCCGGTAACCAAGACCCAGTCCCCGAGAGTAATCCCGCGCGATCCGACCCGAACGACAGGGTCCAGCTCCGCCCAGTTCATCAATTCCCCGCCTTTTCCTATCCCTACACTCGATCTCGGACACCGACCCGGTTCCCAAACCTATTCGGCCACCCTCCATTGACCCGACTTGATACCGCAAACATCAGCACTCCCGTCGAACTGACCTTGCCTCTCCGTATTGTACCCACTCACAACCCAGAACTCGTCTTCTCCGATCACCGCGCCCTCACACTCGTCTCGCTCTTTACTCAGGTCACCCAGCTGACTCCACTCGTTGTTTCTCAAATCATAAACCCACGCCGTTCTCAACGCGTTCTTGTTCTCATCATGTCCACCTGCAATATAGACCCGACCCGAACATGCTCCGATTGCAAAGAACGACCTCTTCGACGGCATATCCTTCCCTTGTTTCCATTGCTGAGTCGAGAAATCGTAGATGAAAACATCAGTGACCGGGTCGTAACTCACTGGGTTCCACCCGCCCATCACCACAAACTTCCCCTCACAGCTTGCTAATTGACAAAACAAAGGCAAACCATCTGGGTATTTGGGAACAGGGGGAAGCTTGTACCAGCATCGATTCACGGGTTCAAACACGGCAACCCCATAACTCAGTAACTCACCGGGTTTTTTATGTCCGTTCCCGATTCCACCGTTAAAGGCTTGAACTAAGCAAGCGACTTTAAGACTGTACCCTAATTTCTTTCGGTGGTAATAAAATTCCTGGCTTTGGAGTAAATCCCGCCATCGGTGACATACTCGGAAGGCAACTCTGTGAGCTGTATAAAGCAACCGTGCTAAACTCTCAACCCCGAGTTCATTGGGTAAACCCAATACCAACTCGGTTGAAAAATCCAAGCCTTGCATTTCTTAAGCTTCTAGAAGGTTTACTCTTTCTCAAAAGCCATGCAAGCATTGCTAACCGAACTGCATCCACATCTAATTTATAACAGACGGTTGGGTAACAGACAAAGACCATCGACACGTGTACGTTGCACGGAATTTCTGTGCAACTTGAACTGATCTCTTTATTGCTAGTTAAATAGTAATGCAGAGAAGCATCAAGATGGTCTTGGCCAGCTGATTATTGCTTAGGCTCGTATCCATCGCCCAATTACGCTTCTGATAGATAGAACAATAAGATATTGACACGTGGAGGTAATTGGATAAACGTCTCTCGCATGTGCTTGTGTCTCCTGGTTTATTCAAAACGAACTTTTGTACTTTTACGTCATCTGACATGTTTATTTTTAAGATATTTTAAATCCAACATGTAAGGATTTTATATTATAAATGAAGATGAAATCGCACAATTTGTGTTAAGATTCGCTCGTCATAGATTTCTGAATATTTTCACAATAAATATATCATAATCTCTATATAATTGAAAATAATTGTTTTGTCTTTGATAAGCATAGGGTATTGGACGGTCAAGGAATCAAATCCAGGGAAGAACACATTGATTTATCTATCCTAATTTATAGGAACTGTGAGTAATGTAAAAGATTAAGATTTCAAATTCTGACGTTTGTAAATAAAGTAAATTAGAATGAGATCGTCGCTCTCGTCTCTGTAGTATTCGATCTGAATTAGTCGGTCAATAGATCGGAATATATATATATATATATATATGAAATATTTTTAAAATTCAAATGTGTAATCATAGTGAAATTATAATATTTTTTAAAATTTTAAATTTTAAATATGTAGGTGTGATAAAATTAAAAGGGATTTTTATTAACAGTGACTATTTAATTACATTTAAAAATCTTTTGATCTTGATTTTATTAAAAGATTCAATATTTTATAACATTATTTTAACTTATTAAATAAGATTTAAAATAGACGGTGAGGATTCAATTTTTTTTTTACAAACAATGAATTTTATACACTATTTCTTTCAAAATAACCTTAGACTAGGGCTGAGCAACGAAATCGAAAAAATTGAAAAATCGACATAAATCGAGTAAAACGGTTCGGTTCGATTCGGATTGATCTTATATGATTTCATTTTGGGTTGGTTTAAACATTCAAATTTTTTAATTCGGTTCAACTTGGATTTTCCATATGGAACCCATTTATTTTATATTGAACCGAATAAATAATTTGGGTCAGTCCAGCCGGTTACCCACTTACCTTAACCCAT